AAAAAAAAAAAAAAAAAAAAAAAAAAAAAAAAAAAAAAAAAGCGGGACCCGCTCCTCGCCGGCGGCAGCGGCAGCGGCGGTGGCTGCGGGGCTGGGCCCCTCTCGGAGGCGGGCGCCGCGGGCTTCCCCTCCGCGCCTCCCCCCGGCCAGTCACAAGACCCGGGTCACGTGGCGCAGCTCCCGGCGGGGGGTGCGACGCGGGGCGGGGCCGACGCGGCGTCTTAAAGGGGCCGCGCCCGCCCCGGGCCACCCGCTAGGCCGCCTGCAGCCTTGACCCAGCGCTCTGCCCTGCGCCGCTTCCGCGGCCCCCAGACCTCCCACCGCGAGGAGACTGCCTCCCGCACAGGGGGCTGGGGGGAGGTGCCGCACTTGGGTCGCGACTTTTATGGCCCGCGGACCCCGCCCCTTCCAGAGCCGGGGTCGGCCCCACCCATCTCCTAGCGGAGACCCCCGTGGTAGGCGGGAGATCCGATGGCCCGAGCCCACTCACCACGGGGAAGGGCAGGGACCCGGGGCGGCCTGGAGGAGGGTCCAGGATGGGCGAGTCCCCCGGCTGTTATCTATCCTGGGCAAAGGAGCGGGGGGGAGGGGCTCCGCGTTCCGAGTGACCCCGGATCTCAATCAGGGCCGCTGCCGGGGTCAATGGAAGCTCAAACCCCTGCGGGAAGAAGCAGGGCGCGCATCTCAACGTTGGCTGCTCGCGCTCGGCTGATGCTCATTCCCTCGATTTTCGTCTTGACAAATTAGATCATTTCTAGGAGTTGCAGCCACTGATTACAAATAACTCCCCATTTGGGGACAAAACCCTAGCTATTGAGCACCTCCTACGTGACAAGCACTGTTCCGGTTGTTCCTCGGTTTCACTCATCGGCACAGCAACCCGAGAGGTACTTATTAGCCCTGGTTTACGGGCCCGGGCCGGGGACAGAGGCTCAGACAAGGGGAGTGGCCTAAACTCGGCGCAAAGACCAACCACTCGATTGGGTTCCCTCAAAGAAGCATTTTCCCCGTCACCTGCTAATGCTTAATGGGTTTGTAAAAAACTTTAAAAATAAAGATCTGAATTTGTAGCTCCTCTAGGCCTTTCCAGGGCCTTCTGTAGCATTTGGTGTTTCCCAGCCTCTTTTACGTGGCCTGCAGTTTGATCCAGCGCGAGGACAAAGGACTGCTGAGACCCCAGCCTATTTTGAATTTCTCCGAAGAGACCATCTTCTCTGTCACAAGTGTGACTCCTCAAAGCCCATCCCCACCTTTTATCTCCTGAACCGGTCACCATCATCCCAGCATCCTGTGGGGCGGAACGAGGGATGGGTCTGGCTAGCATCCGGGGAGGGCCAGGTCAAGAAAAGAGACTGCAGAGGGGCCAGGGCTCTGGGGCCAGCAGAGGTCCTGGCCTGTGGGAGAAATGGCTCCACAGGACAAGAGCCCCCACCAGGGAAAAACAGGGGTGCATCCCCAACCTCATCGACCAGTGAAAGTGGGCTTAGGTCAAGCCTGCTAACACTCTGTCAGCTGTGCACACCCATATGGGGTCCCCCGTCCTTCCCCAACACCCAACGGTGCCAATGTAGTAGCAGGTAGCTGGTGAGGTCATTTCTCATTGGACTGCAAGTAAATCGGCAGATGTCCCTGGCAGATGTCCCTTCAATTTCCCCGGTTAATTCTCCCTTCCTCACGTGCCTTTGTTTGCTAATCAAACTCCACAAAATCCTTAGCCTCTGGCTCCCTTTTCCTCCAATAATTGATTCCTCCTCCCCCCCCACCCCCAGCTTGGAAATCCATATTCGTGAATGAGAGGATGTGGCTTGGGATTTCCCAACATTACTCTGGTAAACATTGCTCACAGACACAAAACAGGTCCTGCTCCTTAATTCTTGAGCAAGTTGAGTGTGACCTGTTATCCCACAGGCCACAAAAGGCCTGGGGGTGGGGGGAGGGGCAAAGATGACAGGCCAGGGACACACAGAAGGAGCAGTCTGGCAGGGAGCCAGCCAGTAAACTCACAATGGCAGTGCAGTGAGAGGGTTAGAGGGGCCCAAGAGCCCTGGGTGCCCCAAGAGTACGAGGGCAGAAGTCCCGTCTAGAATGCCAGCGCTGACTTGGCCCTAGGGACCAGGAAAGGTGTGAGAGAGGTCAAGAGCCCATTGAGCTTTGGTCACCTCCTGGATGGTTGTGGAACACTCGTGATGCTCAGGTTTCTGGCTCAGGCGACAGTATCGCCCGAACACGGATGTGAATCAGACAAAGCCGTCTGCAGGCTCGCACAGGCTGACTTGTGCACGCAAATCCCAAAGAAACACCAAACCAAAGAAAGGCGAGGCAGGAAAGTAACTATAAAGCATTAGCCTTGTGATAAAGATCTGAGACGAACGTAGTGGCTGACGGCCGATCACCCACTCCTCAAGTATTCATGGAGCACACACCCTGCCCAGGATGCCACAAAACTGGCAGCATCCTGCCTTGTGGGCTACACTCCAATGGGGTGGGGGCAGTGTTAGAAAATGGGGAGTGCCATGGGGGGGAAATGAGCAGGGTCAAGGCCACGGGGGTGAGATGCGCAAGGTGGCCCAGCGGTGTTTGGAGTGGGCACGTCCGGGAGGTGAGCAGAGCCCGGACGGGGGTCAGAGTTAGCTGTGGGACCAGAAGGACCAGCTTGGTGTGTTTGCTTGTGTTCTGGGCGGAAGGAAAGTAACAGCATGTGTATAAAGTAGGAAGAGGGAGGATGTGGGAGAAAGAGGGGGGGCGGCGGAAGGAGCTGGGGTCCAGTGCCCGGTAGATGGCGGCGCAGCCCCTGCTGGGATCCCAGAGTCACCCACAGGAACGGGAGAAGGTAGAGCGCGTGGGTGCCCGTGCAGGTGGACGAAGGCGGGTGCTGTCTTCTGCCTGCTTCTGTTTTCCGTATGACACAGGAAGGAAGGGCAGCAGTGAGACCGAGGATAGGGGAGGGGTGTTGGGGTTCCAGGAGAGAAGAGAAAGTAGGGAAGTCACTGAGGAGAACGGGTGTGCGGCCAGGCTACGGAATCAGGGTCTGACCGCAAGGCAGCGGAAGAGCTGACCGAGGTCAGAGATGCTGACTTCAAAGGGAGACCAGGAATAAACTATGTGACAAAAACCAGGTAAAAAGGCCCCAAACGGAGTCACTTGTGCTCAGCCCCATGTCAGCAAACCAAGACTTAACTACCTAGCCAAACTGCAGTTTCAACCCTTGGCAGGAGTGCAGTTTTAAACCAGTCAATCTGGAACATCCTGGTCGGCAGTAGTGAGGTGATCCACGTGGCAGAATCCTTTTATCCCCCAAAGGGGAGGTAACCCACTCCCTCCCTGCCTTTCCCCCTCTGCCTGTAAAAGTCTCCCATTTTGTGCAGGTTCTCCCGAGCTCCTTTTTTATTTTTTAATGTTTTTTAAAAATTGTAATGTTTAGCACGAGCAAGGGACGGGCAGAGAGAGAGGGAGACACAGAACCCGAAGCAGGCTCTGGGCTCCGAGCTGTCAGCACAGAGCCCGATGTGGGGCTCGAACCCACAAGCCATGAGATCATGACCTGAGCTGAAGTCGGACACTTAATCGACTGAGCCACCCGGGGGCCCTATTTCTTTAATGCTTTATTTTATTTTTGAGGGGGCAAAGAGGGGCAGAGAGAAAGGGGGACAGAGGATCTGAAGTGGGCTCTGTGCCAACAGCAGTGAGCTGGATGCGGGGCTCAAACTCACGAACTGTGAGATCATGACCTGAGCCGAGGTTGGTCGCTTAACCAACTGAGCCACGTGGGTGCCCCTCCCGAGCTCCCTTCTATGTGCCGGATGGGATGCTGCCCGACTCACAAGTCACAAAATAAAGTCAAATTGATCTTTACATATACTCAGGTTTTTGTTTTTTTTTTTTTCCTGAGAGAGAGAGAGAGAGAGAGAGAGAGAGAGAGAGTGTGTGTAAGCACATGGGGGAGGGGCAGAGAAAGAGAGAGAGGGAGGGAGGGAGAATCCCTAGCAGGCTCCACGTCCACGGCACAGCCCAATGTGGGGCTTGATCCCACCACCGTGAGATCATGACCTGAGCCGAAATCAAGAGTCGGATGCTTAACCGACCGAGCCACCCAGGAGCCCCACTTGGTTGAATTTTTAAACACCTACAATACAGTTGATATCTCAGTTCATCCTCGGGGCCATCCCATGAAGTAGACTTGGACAGCCCCCAACTGCTTGATGAGAAAACCAAGGCACAGAGAGGTCCCGTAACTTTTCCAAGGTCGCCAAGCCCACATCAGCACTCAGGCCACTAACAATCACTGTGCACAGCTCTCGTGCAAAGTGCACAAGAAAAGCCAGCAGCCGCTGATGTTAACACGAATACGTTCCTGTGCAAGAAGACTTGGAACGTCACTTCCTCTGTGCCCATCTTACAGATGGCTGAAATCCGGCACGTCCATGTGTGTACGTCAAAAAAACTTCTTTAGTATTGCCATTTCCATAAAAGTAACTGCTCACTTAACTGCTATGTGTACACGTCTTAACCAGGAGCGCTCTGCAGGGGACCCGGTCGGGCCGGGGAGGTGCCGCCGTCCTCCAGACCTTGACAGTCACCGAGGACTCTCCCCAGCTGTACCCAGAGGAAACCAAAACAAGGATCATGCCCTTTTTCGCAGACTTTGAAAAGTGCTGATAACCCATCACGTGAGTGTCTTGCACATTCAGGAAACTAGCATCTCACATGGCTGGGATTGTGGTATAAAAAAAAAAAAAGCAGCAAATATCATTTCAAAACCCAAGGCTGTAACCAATTACAAGTGCCTGGCTCAGAGAAGGCTCTCACCAAATATTTGCTAAATGTTTATCTTAGATAAACACTGAGTTTTAAGTTTTCTGGTAAGCCTGTGATAAGCCTTACAATTCTGGTAGGCAAATATTTCTAAATATTTTATAAATTAAGCACGTGTTTCTATGCAACACGGATGACAATTTCTTGCTGGGTCACACAGTAAATCTCATCATAAGTGACATGTATCCATAGATTTAAATCCATACTACACCCTTCCTTCTCTAAGAGGTGGCCCTCGCTCCATAGGCGGACCTGAGAGAACACATTCATACACTGAAACAGGAAATGTCTTTGGGTCAACATTTTCTAGCAATTCTCATAAGAACAAAGAGCAAATTCTGGAGAGCAGGTCTCTAGCTAAATAAATTTCCAAGTAGCTGTTCTCAATACCCCTGAAAAGCAGTTCAGTATTAATGGCTATAACTGATGGGCTAGACCAGTAACAGGAGAAAACTCAGAAGTCAGACCCATCTGTGGTGACCACATGCAAAACTGATTTAACGCCTTTTATCACCACCATGTTCAGAGTGCTTTTACAAACGGGTTTTTTTTTTAATGTTTATTTATTTTTGAGAGAGAGACAGAGACAGAGCATAAGTGGGGGAGAGGCAGAGAGAGAGGGAGACACAGAATCGGAAGCAGGCTCCAGGCTCCGAGCTGTCAGCACAGAGCCTGATGCGGGGCTCGAACCCACAAACCACAAGATCATGACCTCAGGTGAAGTCGGATGGTTAACTGACTAAGCCCCGCCCAGGTCTTCTTGGTTGGGGGTAGGGGAAAGTCCCAAGAAAACGGCAGCCAAGTTTGGATGTTGAGGGCGGCACACGAGGAAGTGGGCTGAGGCTGGAACAGCTAGTGCCCACCCAGATTTCCACACAGAGAACAGCTCTCAAGCCTAAACTGGTCACTTAGCCTTCGTAAGCCAGGCTTTCTTAGACTAAGACTTCAAGCATTCTTCCAGAACTATTACAATGGCTCCTCAGTGGGGGCCACGTTTACCTCATCACCTTCCACAATGATAGAATCCCCATTTCTCAACAGGACTCACAGGGAGAAACCCAACCTTTGTCACGTTGTTCTGTGCCGGGTGCTAGGTTGTGATTCATGTTACCCACATCAGGGCCACGATCCTCAGATTTTATTATCTCAGTTTACATATAAGGAAAGAGCCAATCTCTCCACTAAGTTGGGCCCACAGAAGGGGGGGGCGCCCCCCCGTGCGCCGGGATAGTGTCTTATCCCTGTATCTCCAGTGCCTGGAACAGTAGGTGCTCCATTAACTGTTGACCTTAAGGTCACTTGTCAAGATCATGTGCCCAGTAATGATTCAAACCAGATCCCCCCGCCTCCGGATCTGCACTCTGGCCCATAGGCCATGAAGTGCGTCCCCCTTCAGGCTAGGAATGGGTCTGGATCATTCCAGAAAGACATTCCTGGTTTTAAAAAGTCAAGAGTGCCCAGAACACAGGGAAGACGTCCATGAAGAAGATTCATGCCTTTTGGGATCTCACGCAGTGTGATTACAGGGCATCATTCAGGGAAAACAGTGTACCTCCCAGACTCTTCTACCCTCTCCCAGAGGTCAATCACAATTATTCAGATTTACAGAAGGGATTTCCCTTGGACATCTGTCACTGTTTAATTTGCGACAGTAAAGAGAAACCAAGGTAAGCTTGTTACCATTTACCAGAGCACTGAATTTATGACAACTGGGTATCTTCTTTGGCTGGGGGGAAGCAAATGGCCATTTCCAAGTGGAGATGACAGGCCACCTTGTTAGGTCGGGGGGACCTCCATAAGCTGCCCCAGCCGGTGAGTTTTACAGCCCCCTGCAGGGCCTCCGAGGGTTCTGGCCTCCCTTCTCTGTCCTTATTCTGTTTTGCCAGTGACACCCAGAGCTTGCTTCTCCTGCAGGTCACAGAGGAAAGCAGAAGGGACCAAGGCTTTGACATTGTGTCGGTAAGGAGCTCTGTGAAACCAGGAGGCCTGGGAGGGCTGAGTGGGCAGGGGTCCCCAAGGAGAGGGGCCACCTCTGCTGCAAAGACCCGCCCATCCTCATCCCCTCTCCTCCTCCAGCCCCTCCACCCTCTCCTCTGGCCAGCCCGCCCTGTCCAGTGGCCCCTACCTGCCGCTTGCACCGTGGTCATGGCTAGCTTCGGCGAGCTGCCCCTGGGCGTGGGGAGGGAACCTGAGGACGGAGCCGGAGACAGCCCCCTTGTGCTCCAGCAGAAGACAGGCAGTGGCTGACATGAAGCAGTCATGGAGAAGGCCACGGGGGAGGAGCCATCGTGGGGCAGGGAAGCCCGGGAGGAACCGCGTGGGGGACAGAATGCAGTCTCACAATCCTGCCCTGTTCCAAGATTCTCAGGTTCTGAGAATGGAGTCCCGCCATTAGGGAGAGGCTGGAGGTGCCACCCACCAGATTTTGCCTCTGGGAGGTAGGACGAAGCCCATCTAATACCACTGCCAAGGGCATCTTTGATCAAATCCGTGACTTAGGAGAGGTAGGAACTGTAGGGCTGGCCAGGTAAGGACCAAATGTGACAGACGCCAAAGACAAACGGCCAGGGTCCGGTTTTGTCCTGTGTCCTGCAAAGTGTCAGTAGGGACAGGTGGAGCAAGGATTGTAGCCATATCCATCTGGCAAGAGTGGCCCCCTTTAAATTCCAGGAACTGAGCGCCCTTCACATGAGACCGTCATTGCTTCCTTCCTGTGGGTTATTTTCCTGACTTTCCTTGGTCAAATTTCTTCTGGGGATCCAGTGTAGACCTAAGAGAAAGGGGGTGCCCGGGGGCTGTGCAAAAGCCGGTGTCGGGATCCAGAAAAGCAAGGGCTGGTGGGAGGAGCAGACAGGGTCCACTCCGCCCAGGGCACGTCCCGCCCATGCTATCAGCACTTCAGCTGGCCACTGCGGGTCAGAGGTCATAATGGGCGTGTGACATGCGGACCAGCTCCTCGCTGCTGGCCACATACCACATCGCCTAAAGAATCCTTTTTCCAATCTGAGCTCTAATCTGAAGTTCACATCACTAGAGTGAGCAAAACTGGATATTGTAGAATAATTTTTGGCCTTTGGCACTTTCTATAATGCAACCTTTGGTCTTCTCTGGTGTCAGAGAAGCCGCCTGCGGAACAGACACGTCCCCTTCCTGTACGCCTATGTATACGAACAAGGACCTACAGCCTGTCCTTTTTATAAAAACAAAAACCCCCAGCCTGAGATGTAATTGTGAGGTCTTTCTTTTAAAGGCTACATAACCTGGGGCATCTGGGTGGCCTGGTCGGTTAAGCATCCGATTCTTGATTTTGGCTCAGGTCATGATATCACGGTTGGTGAGCTCGAGCCCCACATCAGGCTCTGCACAGACAGAGTGCAGTGTGGAGCCTGCATGGATTCTCTCTCTCCCTCTCTCTTTCCTTCTCTCTCTGCCCCTCCCCTGCTCACTCTCTGTCTACACACACACACAAAGGCTACACAACCTTCTTGTCCAGCTCATGGTTACTGGTCCTGGCCTCTGTCACCTGGAAGCCTCCCTAGGGTGTCCCGGCCTCTACTGCCTCTGCACCCCTCATACCAAGCACAGAAGAATCACCCTTGGGAGCCACTGTGCTCAGCAGCATGTAATAGCTCCCCTTGCTTAAAACCTTCAATGGCTCCCCACCACCTGCAGCATAAAACCCCAGCTCTTCGGTGTATCGTCCGAGACCTCATGGCCCTGTGGGAAGCACTCCCCACATGGGGTCTTTCCTCCCTCCTCCGAGCCCCCACTTCACCCATTTGGCATGTTTTCCTGGGAACCTGAGCTGACTGGTATTGTTTCCTATGGGTCGTCCCATAGGATCAGGGAGGCAGGGCGCTCTCCTGCGGTTTTCTGATTGAGCACACAGGCTCCGGGCGGTCAAGCGGTCCGGATTCTAGGCCTCCATTTCCTTGACCTACTAACTAGGAGCCCACCTATGACTCAGCTTCCTCACCTGTAAAATGGGGTAATAATGACTTCATCAGGTTTTTGTGAGAGGTGACTGAGGCGGCGTGCGGCACCGGGGGAGCGTCCAGCAGCAGAATGTGGCCACTGGCCCTGAGCACCAGGTGCTACCCGGGACCCTGCATGGGCATCTGCACATCAAGCACTGACATCAGGTGAAGAAAAGGACAGTCCCTCTGCCCCCACAGGCATCACATGGAGGGCTTAGGGCGAATCTCATCATCCCTTCCCTTCCCACTAGTTACACGCATATGTGATTCACTAGGGTTGACTTTTCCCTCTCGTGGACACTCAATGTTTTGTTGTGCAATTTGCTTTTTTCACTTGGAGATCTTTGCATCTCCACGGAGATGCCCGTGATTGATCTCCATCCTCTTACTACAAGAGAATAAACGTCCCTGTGTGTTGGAAGGCCAGGCTCCACACTCAGATTCCGGAACCTAGATCCCTTCCCTTGTTGACGAGGTTCCTGTCCCAGAGCGCCTGGCACGAGACGACACCCACACCCCCTGTACTTTTAATGCTCAAATTTAAGCTCTTATGAATGAAATTTTACAAATCTTTCTCTTTTTTTCTATATCTAAAAAGCAATTACAAGGGTGCCTGGATGGCTCGGTTGGTTAAGCGTCTCTTATCTCCACTCAGGTCATGATCTCATGGTTCAGGAGTTCGAGCCCCACATCGGGCTCTAGGCTGGCAGCGTAGAGCCTGCTTGGGATTCTCTCTCTCTCTCTCTCTCTCTCTCTCTCTCTGCCCCTCCCCTACTTGCACGCGCGTGCTCTCTTTCAAAATAAATAAAAAATAAACCTTTAAAAAATCAATAAATAATAAATTTCAAATTTATATTTGAATTTCAATTTCAAAACAAATAAAAAATCAATATCATCTTCATGATTTCCTTTATTTTAAAAAAAATATATCATTCTAGGGTTACAGCTATATTTATTTTGATATCTTACCAGGGTTAAAGGCCCCAGAGAAAAACAATTCCATCTCAAACCAGCTGAGTTAAGGCATTTTGGTTACAGATGGATTCTTGTCGAGGGCTGGAACTAGGCCATCAGCTAAAGTTGCTTTACAGAAATGTCATTTGTTGTGTTGGCCAGATTCAGATAACCCACACCCTTCACATGGGTTTTAGTCCTTTGTAACCTTATGCCTCCCCTAAAACAATGCATTTTTATTTTATTTTTAATTATTATTTTTTTAGAGAGAATCTTATGCTCAGAGCAAAGCCCAATGCGAGGCTTGATCCCATGACCCTTGGGATCATGACCTGAGCCAAAATCAAAAATTAAGAGTCAGATGCTCAACTGACTAAGCCACCCAGGGCCCCCCCCCCACTTTTTTTAAATTTTATTTTTAGAGAGAGTGTGAGTAGGAGAGGGAGAGGGAGAGGGAGAGGGAGAGGGAGAGGGAGAGGGAGAGAATCCCAAGCAGGTTATCAGCAGCCAGCACAGAGCCCGATGTGGGGCTCGAACCAATGAACTGCGAGATCATGACCTGAGCCAAAATCAAGAGTCAGACACTCAACTGACTGAGCCGCCCACACGCCCCAAAACAATGCATTCTTAAAGTCTTGCTGGGTGGTATCCCAAAACCCACCTTTGGCTTTTTATGATTCATTAAGCTAATCCTGTCACTACAAAATAGTGACTTCATCTGTTAGCATTATTAACAATTTACGTTTGCCTTATTTGCATCGTATTAAAATTAGCAAGGCCCCTAGAAATTTTACTGTCCAGAAATGAAGGATCAAATCCTCACGTGATGTCTTCAGGGCACTCGGGTGATGGATTACCTCCCCAGGAGCACTCTGCGAAGCCTGCTCACTGCCAGCTTTTGTGAGCGAGCTCTGGGGCACGCACCTGCCCTTTCTTGCGAATAGTCACCAGCACCAATGTTTCCTGCTTTTTCTGGGGCTTTGTTCCTCGGTCCCCAGCATTTACCTGTTTCTACTTACACTGACAGAAACGAGTACCAAGGGTTGCTTTATAATCAGGGGGAAAACAACACACATATATATGTAATGTTAAGAATCTCCTACTGTACTCGTGTGCTATGCTACACGACAAAGCACCACAGATTTAGCCGCTTAAAACAACACACATTTATCATCTCACGGTGTCCTGGTCAGGAGCTCGGGACGGGCTCAGCCAGGTCTTCTGCTCAGGGTCTCACAAGCCCACAACCAAGGTGTCACCAGGCTGTATCCTCCCCTCAAAGTTGAGGGGAAGAATTCATTGCCCGGCCCACTCAAACTGTTAGCTAGATTCATTTCCTTGCAGATGGTGACTGAGGACCCCAACTTCTTCTTTATTTTTTAATGTTCATTTACTTTTGGGCGAGAGAGACAAGACACAAGAAGGGGAGGGGCAGAGACACACAGAATCCAAAGCAGGCTCCAGGCTCTGAACTGTCAGCACAGAGCCCAACCCGGGACTTGAACTCACGAACCCTGAGATCATACCTGAGCTGGAGTCGGATGCTTAACCTGCTGAGCCACCCAGGCGCCCCTGAGAGACCCGGCTTCTTGCTGGCTGTTGGCCGCCCTCAGACCCTAAAGGCTGCCTGAGGTCCGCTGGCACGCGGCCCTCCCCAGAGGTCATTCACAACATGGCTGTTTGCATCTGCAAGGGCAGCAGGAGAGAGTTTCTAGCCTCAGAAAAGACCAAGTCCCTCTTAAAAAGGCTTTTATCTAATTAACCCAAGCTCACTCAGGATAATCTCCTTTCCAATTCACTCAAAATCAACTGACTCGGGACTTTAATCCCATCTGCCAATCCCCACATCTACAAGGTATCCTACTAGCCAGAAGAGTCACAGGCCAGCCCACATTCAAGGTGGTGGGGGGGGGGGAACGGGGGACTCTAGAGGGGGCAGAGGTCAGACGGCCACTCTGGGGTCTGTCTGCCACACCTACTTAATGAAAGCAGTGGACGTGAGACAGAATCGATCACCGGTCTGCTGCACTTACAACCCTCGCCTCATGGTAACCTTCCAGAGGTGTTTCATCGCAGGCGCCTGGCCGCTCCGTAACCCCAAAGGCCCTCTCCTCCTAGGCTCCCCCAGCTCACTGTTACTCAGCCTCACGTCTCCCTGGGCTCCGGCCACCCTGCCTCCCTGCTGGTCCTGAGTTGTTGCACTTGACGTTCCCACCGTGCGATGGACTCACGTCCTCACTCCTTTCCTCAGGACTCTAAGATGCCTCCCCAGGAGAGAAGTCCGAAAACTGCTGAGAGGCAGTAGAGAGCAGGGATGAAGAACACAGGCCCTGG